CTTGACAGGAAAACTTTATGTGTGGAAGAAATGAAAATTCAGTAGACCTTTCAAGGCTAGAGCACAAGTGTTTGGCAGGAGTACAGAGAATGTGAATGGGGACTGGATCAGTGTCCAGAGGACAGAGCAGACCTCCAGTTCATCACCCTCTCCTTCTGGAAACACTTCAGTCCCTGGCAGCTATGATTCCAGTTTCTCCCTGCCTCTACTTAACTTTGAATTCTGAGCTCCACACACAGTATGGAACATGGTAGAGGCTCCAGAGTGGATTTCTGTTGCAGCAAGAGTTGGCCAGCATGAGCGCAAAGCTTTGTACATGTACTTGGTATCTTGTTGTTCATCCATAGAAGCAAATCAGAGGGAAAACAGAGATTCGCTGCACAGGGATAATCATTCCTCCAGATCTTTTTTTAACCCTGTAGCATTATGGGCCCTACTTACACAACTAATTTCACCCTTAGAATCCATCTTCTGCAACACATGAGAGAAGAAATGCTTACTTGTAGATAGAAGACACACAGTTCCTGCAGTCTGATAACTCCTAGACAGGAGTTATCTTAGCTAGTCTCTGTATTCCTTAGAGATCACCTGTTCCTAGTGTCATAGATCACAGCAATGAGAGGTAGAAGGAAGGAACTTTTCATAAGAGAGGAGACCAGGCCCAGGAATGTTGGCAAGTCAGTAACTGCATGACTAAAACCTCAAGTTGCTCATTTCATAGCTTCCCATTCTCTGCAGGCTGCATTCCATTCTCTGTTAATTTGATTTTCATGGCATTAGTGTAGTCTATCTAATCTAATGAAATCCTTTCTATTTTAATTTTAGATTTCTCATATTGGCAAACTGAGAGATTTTCTTCTGGAACACAGGAAAGATTATATTAATGCTTACAGGTAAGTGCATTTGCGGGGAGGGGGGGCCAGGAGGGGGACTTGGTTTTGGACGGCTATGTTCTTTTTTGTTCCTATGTTCCTTTTGAGCTTAATTTTTTTTTGGTTGGGAGGAGGTACAGGGGAGTACTGGAGATTAAACTCAGGGGCACTCAACCATTGAGCCATATCCCCAGCCTTATTTTGTATTTTATTTAGAGACAGGGTCTCACTGAGTTACTTAGTGCCTTGCTTTTACTGAGGTTGGCTTTGAACTCGCAATTTTCCTGCCTCAGCCTCCCGAGCTGCTAGGATTACAAGCATGTGCCATCATGCCCGGCCCTTTTAAGCTTTTTGTCCTCACTTCTTACTTGACAACTCAGAGCTGTAATGAGGAAGATCAGTATAGCAGTGGAAGAACATGTGCAGAACAGAAGAAAACTCACAGCTGCTGTGCCTGTGTTCCCAGAGCAATGTGATATCACAATTTCTGGTCTCTATCTCCATGGGTGCCATTACATCCTAGCATGTGATACTCTGATTTCTTACCAGAGCAGTACATAAAACTGGGAGCACCTGTTTGTATCACCTGAACCTTGAGGAGGGACAAGGTTTTCAAGGCTCTTGCTTGGCTCTCTTTGCCTGTATTTTGCTGTCCCAGCCTGTGACACTGGCCTTGCTGTTTGGGTGGTGCCCTTGTGAGCATGTTTCCATCTGGTGCCTTCACTTCACTGTGTCAGGCCTTTCTTGTCCTTTCCAGTCTCAGTCCTCATGACCTCTTTCCTTGTCCTTCTCCCAGGCTTCTGACACTTGCTAGAGACATCAACAAGCTCACTTTGACTTGGCCTTCATTTTGGGGGGCTTATAAGTACTTTTATTCAGCCTCTAATGTAACTCATGATCACATTCCTCCTCTGGCTAGGTCTCCTTTCTACTTGGCAGCCATCACCTTTTGGAGTATCCCCTGGATTAGTCACCCCTAAGGAGACCCAGCATGAATGCCCCACTGCTCTCTGTCAGCAGCAGCCTCCACACCTGGCCTTGCCTGTTCTCGTCTCTTTCACACCCTGCTCCTGCCATGGTGGCGAGCGTGCCAGCCTTCCTGGAAGTCTCCCTGCCTGTTCCTGATGCTGGCACAGGCAGCTGGTGTTGTTCCTCCTCTTCCCATGGTGGTCTTTTTTCAAAAGTTAGTGCTCAGCTTTAATGCTGTGTCTTCTGGGAGGCTGCCTTGGGCCACCATTTATAAAATAGACCTGGGAGTTTTTGTTTGTTTCTGTACCTTATATTTTTCATGACAAAGCATGATTTGTGATTATTCAATAATAATAACATAGTTTACTATTTATCTTTGTGAATAATTTTTAAGTTTTATGAGACTGGAGACCTTGTCAGCTTTTTATTCTTGTTTCCATAGTGCCTCACCCATACTTGGTACTAACTAAATATATGTCAATGAATGAATGAATGAACTCCTCATGTTGAGTCCATGATGAGCCCGATGTGGTGGTGCTTGCCTGTAATCCCAGTGCCTCAGGAGGCTGAAGCAGGAGGATCACAAGTTCAAAACCAGCCTCAGCAACTTAGTGAGAACCTGTCTCAAAATAAAAAATTGGCTGGGGATGTGACTCAGTGATTAAGCCCCACTGGGTTCAATCCCTGGTGCCAAATGCGTAAGGTCCCTGATGAGCCCATTGGTTCTCAACCACAGCTGATTTGTGGGGGACACTTGGCAATGTCTGAGGACAAAGAAGGAACTATCTGGCCCACAGTTTCAGTTGTGTTGATGTTCTCAGTGTCTTCCCATCTCAATCTATGCAAATTAACTAATTCATGCACCAAATATTTGTTGAATATATGCTCAGTGCCTGGTACTATTCTAGATTCTTAGGGCACATAATGGAATAAAAAAGGCAAATATTGCTTCTCTGCAGCTTGCATTCTAGGGATTAACAAAGACAAGCACTTAGGTCCTGTGGAACAGACACAGTAGAGTCAGGTTATGAGACCTAGGGTTGCTGAGGAAGGCGGTGGTTTATATCCAGAGTGGTCGGGGCTGCCCCTGCTGAGGCCACCTCCTCCTCTGAGGTTTGTAGTGTTGGTAGAACTTCTCTCTCCTGCCTCTCTGCCTCCTCCCTTCTTTTCACCTGCTGTACCTATTTCTCCTCCGCTGTCCTACTGTCCAACTTGGGTTCCTCATCTCATCATTTCGACTGCTTCTGGATCATTGCTGCATTCCTGATTCCCCTCTAATTTTGATGATCACACTCTTTTCTCTTCTTCCCTTCAGCTCATGCACTTAACCTTGTTCCTCCTGAAGCCATGCGCACTGTCACTTTGTTTCAATCCAATGCCAGACTTGGGGGAAAAGTCTGCATAAGGGAATAGCCGACCTTCTGTAAAAGGCCAGATAGGAAGTGGATTAGGCTTGGTGGGTCACATATGCTGTCTCACATTCATCTTGGTTTTCTTTTATTGTTTTTGCTTATTGTTTTTATACAGCCTTGGAAACAGGTAAAAAGTGCTTCTTAGCTCTGGCTGTATAGAACCAAGCCTGTGGGTTGGATCTGGCCTGTTGGCTATAGGTCACTGACCCCTGGTACCTGATCTTTTGCTTCCTCACCATTCACTCCTCCTTGATCCTAACGGTGGAGCTTGTTTTTCATTACTTTCTGAGACTTTTTCTCCCAGAGCTCATCTATGCTTTTTAATTAGTAAAGCTGGTGGCTTTTTCTCAAATTTAGTATAAGTGGAGTCATATAGTACACTCTTGGTGTATCTACCTTCTTTCACACAATATGCTGCTGAGAATATCACTAGTTGTTCTTTTTTATTAGTTATTTTTTGAAATATTCTGTTGTGTGAAATTGCCACAATTTGCTTATTCATTTACTAACAGGGAAAATTGGATTGTTTCTAGTTTCAGGCTATTATGAATAAGCTGCTATGTGTGAGCAGATTCTGCAAGGCTTTTTGTGCATATATGTGTACATTTCCCTAGAATAAATACCTAGGAGTGAAAGTGCCAGGTCACACACACAGCAGGTGTGTTCTTAACTTTGAGATAAATTACCAGTTGCGAAGTGGTGTTGCTGCCTCATTAGCAGTGCATAGGGCTGCAGAGCAACTGGCATGTGGTGTTGGATGGCCTGTTCTTTTTAACCACTGTAGAGAAATAAAGTATGAATTAGTGTTTTAAATATGCGGCTCTATAATGATAATGACGGTGCAGACCTTAACAGCCCTTTTCATCTCTCCACTTTGCTACAGCCTTTGATCCTGCTGACCACCATCAGTTTTGAGAAATTCCTTATTCCCTTTACTGCCATTACTTAATAGCTTGTCCATCTGTATTAGCAAGGGATTGCTTCCAGGACCCCTCAAGGAAACCTGAACATGGGTGTTCTAGGCCCTCACGTAAAATAGCATAGAATTTGCCTATAAACTACCCATATCCTCCTGTTTACTTTGGATCATCTCTGGATTATGGATGATGCCTCATACAGTGTAAATGATATGTAAATAGTTGTTGCAGTGAGTTGTGTAGGGAATGACAGAAAGCAAGCCAGCGCATGTTCACTACAGCTGCACTTATTTTTATCTGAATATTTTCAGTGCATAGTTGGTGGAAACCTGTGTGAATACATAGATAAATATGGAGGAGGACCCACTGTATTTGGGGGCTCCTCTGACTACTCCATTTTTTTGCCTCTTTGTTCTTCCATCTTTTCCTAAAAGAACTCCAGAGCTCTGTTTGACTCTTTTGTCCTGTCTGTCTCTACTTTGCATTACAAAAATTGACCCTGTTATTGTCTGTGTATCTATCTACCTCCAACACACTCAGCCCCTCTCTGCCCCTCCTGAGTGCTTACTATGTGTGAGATACTCTGCTGAGCACTATTAGTATTTCATCTCATTTGGTCCTCACATCAGCCCTGTGAGGGAGACATTGTCACTGAGCCTGTTTGACAGGAAGGAAACTGAAACACAGGCGTGAAGGGACCTGCTGAAGACCACCACCTGGCAGCTGCTGAGCCAGGGCTTAGTGGTCTGGCAGAGCCAGGCACTTCACCACTGCTCTCTTACCCTTCATAGTGTCCTCTCACCACTGTGCCTTCCAGCATGGCATAGCCACAGGCTCCTTCAGTTCCATTTGCCACTGTCTTACCTATAAGCCACGTGGGCAGTCCCGCCTCCACGTGTGGCTCTGTCCACTTTCTTCCGTTCCCTCTAGGTGCTTTAGTGCAGTCTTGGCTACTGGCCTCATCTGTTTCTTCTGAACCCCTGCTCCTTGCCCCTCCCTCCCTGTTTCTCCCGAAGGCACAGCTACAGTCGTCATCACAGATGTGATCATTCAGTTCTCCTCCTTAGATCCTTTCTCTTTGCCTGCAGACATGTCCATACCTTCACTCACCCGTTTGTGTGCCTTTTGTTCTTTGATTCATTACGTGCATCTCACGCATCCACCTGTTCCCCTGAAAGCCTCACTTCTAACCACCACCTTCTCCCAGAGCTTCCCGGGCCCTATCTGAAAGCTATCTCCCCTGCCTCTGAAATCTGGTACCTCTTTTTCTGTACTTTTGTTAGGCTGCTTCTCACATGAGTGTGGTAAAAGAGTTATTTCTCCATGTTCTCTTCTACCACACTTCTTGGGTGAGGTACTCTTATACTGTGTGTTTGACAGTGCCGAGGTTTGATTAATTGATTGATTCATCATTTCATTCATTTACTATCTACCCTTTGCCATACACTGTGCCAGGCATGGAGTATAAAATAGTGAGCACAGACAAACATGGTGCTCCTTTACCTTCACAGAGCTATGAAAGGATTCATACATACGGGCAGCATTGCAGATAGGATAGGTACTGCAAAAATAGAGGAGAGGAATGACTTTGAGGAATTCGGCCTTGTCAGGGAAAGAGTCCTTGGAGAAGCCATAGCATGAGCTGAGATCTGGAAGAGTGGGAGTTAGCCCAGTAACCAAAGGAAGGAGGGAACGGAGTTCAAGGTAGCCCTCGCACAGTCCT